GCTTTTAAAGTCAAAATTTAAAAAGATACACTAGGTGATCAGCACCCCCCCCCAATGCTATAGGAGTATCAAACCAAATGGACTTTGAAGTAAAGGATATATACAAAAGGGGTCCTATGTAATGTTAAAGGTTCAAATCACCAGACAGACATAAAAAACCTAGAGTGTAGCATCACTGCATCAAAATACACAAAGGAAAAACTGAAAGAACTACAATGAACTGACATTCTACCATCAAAGTGAGAGATTTTGCTGAAAATCACAAAAGCATACCAAAAGAAATGTTTAAAAGTATTAGATTCAAATACAATCAAAAATTTGATTCAAATTACATTTACAGAATACTATACTGAAGAACAGAATACATATTCTTTCAAAGCACACCAAGCCATTTATTAAAAATTACTGTATCCGGGCAGTAAAACAAGAAATAAGGTTCCTGTTCACCACTTCCACTGAACACCGTACTGGAGGTCCCAACCAACATATCTGACCAAAAACAAAAACAAAATGAACAAAAACAAAAACAAACACAAACAAACCCAAAGGAAAAAATAAACCATCTTTATAAAGATGATTTGGTTGTCTATGTAGAAAATTTAGAACAATCTCAAGACAATGGGATTTAAGTAATATATAAAAATCAAAAATGGAGCAAAGTGTGATTTTAACAAATAATACAACAGCATTGAAAAAATATAAAATATCTACACATAAATCAAAAGATGCTTCAAACAAAATTGTGTACCTTTATTAAGACATTTAATAAGATCTAAATAAAAGAGAGAAGTACTCTATTCATGGATTGGAGGACACTGCATCATATAAACATGTTCTCACACAAGTTGATCTATAAACTCAGTAATTCCAAGTGAAATCCCAAGAGGACTGTGTATAAGTAGTCTGAGAAACTGATTCTAAAATGTGTTTCAAAGTCAAATGGTCCAAGAATAGCCAAGAAATTCCTGAAATTTAAATTGAAAGGACTTGTTTACTAGATCAAGAATTATTATAAATCTATAGTAAATAAGACTGTGTACTTTTAGCACAGGGATCCATAAACTAACAAAATAGAAAAGAAAACCTAGACATAAAGCAAAAAGATACATAAATTTATGACAGTTAATACTGCAGATCAGGGGTGCCTGGGTGGCTCAGTGGGTTAAGCCTCTGCTTTCGGCTCAGGTCATGATCACAGGGTCCTGGGATCGAGCCCCGCATCGGGCTCTCTGCTCAGCAGGAAGCCTGCTTCCCCTCCTCTCTCTCTCTCTCTGCCTACCTCTCTGCCTACTTGTGATCTCTCTCTCTGTCGAATAAATAAATAAAATATTAAAAAAAAATACTGCAGATCAGAGGAAGAAAATGAGACTTTTCAAAAAATGGTGTTGAAACAGTTGATCAACAAAGTAAGAAAAAATAAAGTATTATGAGGGTGGTGGGGTTATGGACATTGGGGACCGTATGTGCTATGGTGAGTTCTGTGAAGTGTGTAAACCTGGCGATTCACAGACCTGTACCCCTGGGGCTAATAATACATTATATGTTAATAAAAAAAAATTAATAAAAAAAGTATTATTTCTCACTTTACACAAAGATCAATAGCAAGTGTACTACAGACTTAAATGTGAAAGACAAAAATCACAGAACTTTTGTAAGAAAATATAGGCTAATATTTTCATATTATTTTTCAAAATATATTTTCAAAATATTTTCATATTCATCTTCACACAAATGAGGTTGTGTGAAGATGAATCTAATACAATTAAAATTGAAAAATCTAATTCAAGAAAGACACTACAAACAGAATGAGAACAGAAACCACAAACTCATGAAAGATATTTGCAATACACATAACTGACAATGGGTTAATAGCCAGGCTACAAAAGGAACCCTACAAGTCAATTTCTTTAAAAGAAACTAAGGAATAAAACATTTTCAAAAGACTCTACTGGGAACTTTACAGAAAGGAAACTTAAAACCAAAAAAAACACTCAAAAAGGTACAAAACCCCCTTAATAAGTAACAAAGCCCCTCTAACACTTCATACTACTAAATAGGCAAAATCACTATTAAATATAGTTTAGGTTAAGCAGTAACTGGAACGTTTAAACTCTGCAGGAAGGAACATACTGTTAACACTAAATCTGCACCACCTTGTGAAAGTAAATATAAACTTATTCTATGATCCAGGAATTCTACACCTAGATGTACAGTCTATGAAGAGTCTTGCACACATATAGTCACAAGACATGTTTAAGAATGTTGACAAGCAAAGTATCTGATGTAACAACAAATGTCCATCAACAGTATAATGATTAATTAAGTTGAGCTGTGGATACAACGTAACTATTTACAACACAGAGCAATCTCAGAAAAGGCAACATGAAGTGAAAAAATAACCTGCAGAATACACAGAGTATGATTCCATTAATATAAAGTTAAGTATGTATGAAGCCAGGTGACTTATTCTTGAGAGATACAAACATGTGTGCTAAAGCTACAGCAAAAGGCAAGGTTATGATAAACACAAAAGGAACACCCCAGAGAGGAATTAAGAGGAGATTAGGAAGGGGAACACAAGTCATGGTAATGCCAGTAGTCAAAGCTAGCTGTACTTACAGGTACACTGAATTACTTATTCCTTGTGTTTTGCATATATCTTCTAAATATTCTTCATATCTACTGAATATAAAAATAAATTTTAAAAAAAATCTACACTGTCTTCAGAAGTGTCAACAGTCAAAGGAAATGAGATGTCTGAATACAGACAACTATATACAATACTTCAAGCATATAGTCATAGATGCATTGGGATTTTCTAAATTAAAAAGAAAAGAAAGCCAGGCCACTGGAGAACAAAATTTAATTAATATGCAACTGTTTATTTAAAATAGTTTTCCAAGACCTTCCCATGATTTCAGGCTTTGCACTTCATTTGTATCCTCTCAAACAGCTAGAAATCAACATTTAACATTTTTTGTATTTTAACCATTATGTATGCTATTTTAATGACATTTTTTTCTTTACTAAAACTAGAACCTAATGTGTCAACCAATATGAGATATAGATTTAAATAATCTTCTTGGTAGTAGTGGTGCTGCTGAAGCTTTCTTGGATTTATCAGATGCTGGAAACTATTTCAAGCCATTTCCATCTAGCTGTCTGACTTAGGAAAATCATGCTATCTCCCTAGGCCTACTTTCTCTCTGTAAAATTCAAAAAAACCTAGATTAGATTATTTCTATCATTTTATCTGGCTGCTAAAATCCCATGAATATATTCTTCATCAATTTCAATTTTATCTAACCTTTATTTGCTACTTCTTTGCCTAAAAAAATCATAAATAACCATACTCAAATAACCGTAAGTTCATTAAAAAATAAACACAAACCCAAAATATTCTTAATCATTCTAATATATTCCCACTAATAGATAAAAGGCTTTTCACTTGAATTTTCATTTTTTATTTCTATTTCATTTAAAGTCAATAATAAAGTCACAACTGTAAAATAAATGCATTTAAAAACACAAAAGATACATTTCAATGACAAAAAAATATATAATGATCATGAAAATCTACTGTACACTTTGCTAAGGTCAACAGAGTAAGGGACCATATGAATAAGTCAATCTTCAAATATATCCTCAACAAAAACTCTCTTTTGAATAGTAAAATCATCACTTAAGAATTATTTATGTTTACATAACTGGACACTAGCTCCAAAACCAACAAAGTGTGTAGAGGGTGGCCAGGGGAAGGGAGCTAGATAAAAATATGTGGGCACTGGGAACTCGATATTAAACCTCTAAAACACTTAATTTAAAATAAAATGAACATTCCTAACAGATGACAATCATGTAAAACTGTTTTTTTTTTTTTTTTACCTTAGCAGAAATGAGATGGGACATTTCCTAACAGTAACAGCTTAGTAATCATCTAAAAAAAAATTGTGGAGATACACGCAACTCCAAACCCTAACCCCAGTCACTGGTATAAAACAAATACCTTCCATGAAATTATCCTTCCCATTACTAAAATATCCTTATTTACTTGGGAGAATTCATAACAGAATATTTCAAACACTTGTTTTAAATATGTAGAATTACCCGAGTTGAGATGTTTGAAACCATCTGTGTATTACTAATAGTTAATCTTTCAAGAGATTGAACAATCCTTTATTATATATATCAATTGGGTTTCCTTAAACATATTTGATCAACTACTACAATAGTGATGCTGCTGATAGTGATACTCTCAAATTTTCCCTTTTCAAAAATACATAATCCATGTGACACTAAGTAGTAAATATGTTACACTGTATACTTTCTTAACAAGGAATGACTCTTTTCAGGTCCTAGTAGGAAGAAAAGAAACCAACAATGGCATTTACTACCTGTTTTATCCTTGATAAAGCTATAACTAATAGTCAAATGATGGATAGTTTAAGTATGTAATATGAAGAAAAAAGTGAAAATCATTATAATTTTACAAAAAAAAAAAAAATCCCAAGAAACAAAACAGAAAAAACCACCCCACAAACACCATGATAACTTAAATGAGCACAGCATAGGTCCCAAAGATTATACTATGATTCTGAACACAATTTTCAAAGCAAAAAGGCATCTACATACAATTCCTGTGAATATCTCATACACTACACAAAGATGAATTTCAAAGCGTATGTAGGCTAGATCAGTTCCAACTTGTCAAAGACAAATATTTAAATGGTTCTATTGGCTAAAGTGCACCTGCTGACCAAACCTGCTCTGGTCCTGCCTCTGAGTACAACTCAAGAAAGAGGCTGTTACCCATGTTTCCTCCCTACCTGTCTGTGCTGTCAACAGTCATTCAGAACAATGGATATTCCTTTTTAAAACAAATACTTCATACACTGGGTAAGAGGAAAACCAATCCTAAATGTACTATCTTCTGAAACTCCAGCAAATAAGATAACCTCATTATTTTTAAATACTGAAAATGTAAAGGGACCACACACAAATTAAGAACTGTATTAGGTATATACTTTTTATTTAATACTCACTTGATGTGCTCTTAAAATCTCTATGAGAGAAGCAGATCATTTCCCGTGTCTTTTGGCAATAGATTCAAAAGCAAAAGTAGCAGTGTTGTTGAATTCCATGAAACTTTTTTCTTAAAGCTAAATTATTCAATATTTGTATTGTTATTGCACTCATATATTGCCCGGAATACTATAGCAACTCAGCAATAGTGACTGCAACAAAGTAAGGTAAGTGGTTCTACACAGCATTTGATTTTCTAATTAGGTAAGAAAGTTTCCATACAGGAAATGCAAACAACTACAATTCAAAAATCAGTATATGCTTAACAATTATTTAACCTTATACAAAATTAAATGTAAGCCTAACCACTACAAATCTGTAAGGAATCAGAAAAGGATTTACAGTACACAAATCTTGAGTATTGTTGCATTCCATTCTTAAAGTCACTCTGAGTTAAAACAGCATTTTTCCAAGATTTAAAGAAAAATATATTTTATAAAAGGGATTCTTTTTAATTACTGAATACATCATTTTTTATTACTAAGACAGAAACAAGTTATACTTTTTCCACTATAATTTGCTTTGATGAAAGAATTTTAACTCCTAACAAATGCTACATTTTCAAGACTAAAGGAATAATCAGTAGGTATTCTTTCTTCTTGATCTAAGTTATTTTTCTCTAAAATATGTCAAGTAAGCCTTTAAAGACTCAGGTAGGGGTAGTTTCATGATTTTTTCTCTCAGTAAATTCTGAGGTGGCTCCTCAGGCTTCAGGGCTTCACCATGATCTTTCTCTTCCTCTTCTTTGTTATCTTCTTCCATTTTTTCATCCTCTTCACTGTCTAGAGGCTGAGGAATAAGCTGATTACCCACAAATACGTAGGTATTAATTCTCTGTTTAACCCTCTTTCTTTTCCTTTTTGGTGGAGCCCTCTGAGGAATCCCCTTGGCCTGCATCTCATCATTTATGAAATTTCTAAGTGTACGTCGGATATAAATACGAGCCAAGTCCTGGAGATTCCGGACAGCACAGGGGGCTAAAAAAAAACAAAAACAAACACACACACAAAACGTAAAGAAGTAAAACATTATATATTGTTCATTCCCTCACAGAACAAAACAAGTATTTCTTAGCTACTCTGACTTCCATCTAACAAAGACTTCAAGATGCCTTCTATTTGCTAAGCCACCATTCTAAATTCTGTGGATACTAGAAAGGTTTCTGTGCACAGATAATGTGTGTCCTCATATAGATGCATAAAAATTCTTTGAGAGAATAAGTTAAGAACTTAGAAATAGGCTACATGAGAATGAAGTACTTAGGGAACAAGAATAAAAGAGAGATCTTATACTGTACTTTTCTTATACTTTTTGATGTTGAAAATCATATAAGAACAATTGATTCCAAAAACTCAAATAAATGCAACATTTGAACAGCTCCTTCAGTCTGAGCTTTAAAGCTATTACTCATGCATGCACACACACACACACACACACACACACACACACACACACACAGTTTTTCTCTGTAAATCGGTAAGTAGAACTGGTTCATAGGCGAAGGGCCACCAGAAATCACGCTGTCAACAATTTAATAACCCAAAACACACCACAGATTTCCTTAAGTTACTGATGTTTACTTTTATCAAACACATCACAGTTGGAACCTATCCTGTCTTTTCACTCCCATTTCCCACAGACCTATAAATGCATAAGCCCTAGGACACATACTCTTCTTTGTAGCCTGTTCCAATACTTTATATATACAGAAATTAACTCTAGTCTCACAGTTTCCAGCCCTGTAGAAATAAAACTATCATCAAGGATCCTCAAATGCCTAAACAAAATAGAACATAACCCTCTTCCAGTTAAACAGCATTAAAAAATCTTCACCATTTAGCTTTTATTTCTTCACTTTTGGTACTCTTTTCTGGATACTTCCCTTGCAAACTTTGTTTTACCTATGAAAGCCTGCCTTCCTTAGGAACTCTCTGGTATGTGGTATCTCTATACCACCAGACTATAAAAGCTCCAGGAGTGAGGGGCCACAGCATTTCCTCTCTGTCCTCCCCACAGGGCCCTGTACACTCTAGGCTTGCACAGTACATCATCCCGTCCAAGGCTCAGAGTACTTCCTGTGTTCTGAACACCAGACCCTACCACAAATTAGATACACCCTGCAGGAGATAAATTTGTGTTGGTTTTGTTTGTTTGTTTTGTTTTTTTAAACTCCAGCATGGGAGACTTTTCAGACTGATTCAACGATACCTCAGCACCTACCTAAGTGGCCTACTATAAAACCTTTTCTTCAAACTGTTTTTTTCCAACTCCCTACTGAAACCTGAAATAGGAAAGAATTCCAAAGAGCCAGACTGGGCATGTTTAGTTAGAAACTGTTTGTTCCTGGCCTCCCCCCACCTGTATGAGATGGAAACTGAAACAACACACAAAAATTTGAGTTCAAGTCCAGCTTCTGCCATGATGGAGTGTTGTGAACACTGGTAAGTAAAAACATGTGAGAGCTCCTCCCTTATATGTTAAAATGTGTAAAATAACCACCTACTCTGTCTACCTCCCAAAACTATTTAAGCTGTTTTAACATTCACTCAACACCTCTGTGTTAAACTCTATGACACCTACTATTAAAGAACTCACATATAGTGGATGCTTCAGACTAAGTCCTTGCTTTTATGGAGATTATGTATTTGGGGCAGGGGGTAGATAAAGAATAATTATGAAAAAGAGGACAGAAGGTTAAAAAAAAAAAAAACAAAAAAAACCCACCAATGACACAGAAAGTAACATGGGGGTAGAACTATTTCTGACTGGGTGGTCCAAACATCTCCCTGAGGAAGTCATGCCTGGGCTAAGCTCTAAATGACATGAGGAAATAGCCATGAAAATACCTTGGGGCAGAGGGGACAGCAAAGCCCTAAGAGGTAAATGAGCTTAGCATGTTCAAGGAGCTGAAAGAAGGCTAGTGTAGATGAAGTTCAGAGCAAGAAGAAAATGGTAAGAAGTATGATCATGGGTGACCTTGCAGGCATTGGTAAAAAATGTGCCTTGTATTGGCCATGCAGCTACTTAAGGGTTTTTAAAAAAACAGGGTCGTAATGCAATGAAGATGGCACTCAGGCTCCTCTGTAGAGTATGGATCATAAAGAGAGGGAGTAGGAGACCAGCTGGAATCCACCTGAGATCTGACCACGCTCTGATGCAGATGGGCTTAAGGGAGGGTGGCTGTAAACATGTAGAGAACTGGACAAATTTGCAACACATTTTGAAGACAGGATGGACGGGGATTGGATGTAGGAGAATTTCTGGCCCAAGAAACCAGTTGGTGCTAACAGCCAATTATTGACATGACAGAGAGGAAGAGTGGCTGGGGAGAAGAAAAGCACAATTGCTCTGTGCAGAATCTGAAATGTCTCCTACATTTCCTGAATGGAGATTTCAGGAAGAAAAACAACAGTGACACACTAATCACCATTTCATCATGTTACAGGCAATAGAAGTGAGGAAAAGGAAGCAGACAGAGGTGAAAAATTTGATCCTGGTCACAGAGGTAATAAGTGACATGAGTTGGGACTTGCACATGGGCATTTAACTGCACAGTCTAGGCTCCTGCCCAAACACAAGCAGCTGAATCATGCCTCCGAGACTCAGAGCGAAGTCAGGGCTGGGGGCAGACATCTGGGAGCCATCAGCCTCTCCTTGAGCACCTAAGAGGGAGTGTAGACAGAGAATAAAGGCCTATGCCTGAGGAAAGCTCTGAAAAAGCAGGGGAAGCTAGTGGAAAATAAATCCATAAAAGAGTTTTGGGAGGGGCGCCTGGGTGGCTCAGTGGGTTAAAGCCTCTGCCTTCTGCTCAGGTCATGATCCCAGGGTCCTGGGATCGAGTCCTGCATCCGGCTCTCTGCTCAGTGGGGAGCCTGCTTCCTCCTCTCTCTCTCTCTCTCTCTCTCTCTCTCTCTCTCTGCCTGCGTCTCTGCCTACTTGTGATCACTCTCTGTCAAATAAATAAATAAAATCTTTAAAAAAAAAAGAGTTTTGGGAATTATAAAAGAACTAAGAAATAGAGCTGTAATTAGTCTTTTTGGCTGGTCTTTATTCTTGAACCTCTTAAATTTTTAGTCCTCTCTTTTCACACCTTAATTATGTTCCTCCTCTGCCAACACCACCATTCCAAGGACACTGTTAATCTTTCAATCCTAAACTGTCAGAATACCTGAACTTCATAAAGAACAAACTAGGTACACAATGGAAAAGATTCAGACTTAAGTCCTAAAATAGTATCCACATGAGCTGCATTTAAGTTTTTCTGAATGATACAAAAACTTCTGGATAATTCTCAGCCCTAGATATTCAAAAGTCTCCCATTATTTTCTATTCTTTAACACTCCCTTGTTTCTATTACTTCCAGTCATGAGATAAGGATTTAATGGACTAGACAACGCAAATCCTGACGCTATTAAAATTTTATTTTGAATTAAAGCTTTCACTTCAAAATTATAATTAAGTTTATCTCTAACACACACACACACACTGTAAGCTCTATTTGTTTCCTAAAAGGTAGGTCCCATACAGATTTCATAGGAACCCAGCAGTCAGTACTTTCACTTTTGTTTATTAACAGAGATTGAAAAAGGCATTATATTTAGGTCAAACTCACAAAAGTGATAATTTGGGGCCATTTTTTTAGCCTACAAAAACAGCAACTATTCCATATAACTCAAGGTGGTTTAGTGCCACAATTTCTGAAGTTTCTTTTATCCTTTGTGATTTTGTAACAAGAAATACACATTTGGATTCCCATTCCTGACACAGAACTCTAAAAACACTTGGAATTATGTAAGTGATAACCAATCACACCTGAGTTTACGTTAATGAGATGACTTGTGGTAAGCTGGGCTCACCAAGGTGACTGAGGATGCTAAGCTGGTTGCCAGGGGAAACAACCAGGCACTTGGAGGACTGGGACTTTCACTAGCACCCTCTGGAAGGGGAATAGGGGATGTAGGCTGAGTTAATCATAAATGGCCAATGATTTAATCAATCAAACCTCCATAAATAGCATTAACTGAAAGGGTTCAGAGAACTTCTGGGATTCCTCCATGCATCAATTCCACCTGGTTGTTTCTGTGTCAGATCTTCGGATAATAAACCTGGTATCTAGTAAGTAAACTGTTTTCCTGGGTTCTGTAAGCCACTCCAACAAATTATCAAACTCTAGAAAGGGGTCATGGGAGTTTGATTTATAGCCAGAAGATCAGAAACACAGATGAAAACCTGTATTTGTGATTGGTGTCTCCAGCTGGAGGAGGAGGGGGCAGCTTTGTGGGATGGGACCCTTTAACCTTTAGGGTCTATGCTAACATTGATTAGTGTCAGAATGGAGTTAGATCACAGGACACCTCCTTGGTGTCTGCAAAGGACTGGAGAATTCCTTTCATCCCTTTCTAAAGGGCCTGCCCTAAACTTAGAGCAGTGTGTATACCATAGAAGTAGAGAAAAATAAGCTTGAGGAAAGTGATAATTACATTTAGTAACTGTTTATTATGGGTAATTTCATAGCTACAAAATACATTTGGCAAAGATTTGCATGTGTATGTTTTTAGTTGTGTGTGTGGTTTTTTTTTGGGGGGGGGGAGTAACATTCTTATTTTAACCCCCTATAATTAATGAAATAATGTTCTCTAAACAGAAAGCAATTTTAACAGAAAACTTGTTCTTATTCTCCAAACATCCTATTAAACTTTGACAAATAATATTTTCAGAACATTTTTCATTCCGTGATTATTCGTAGTGAAGCTTTTTCTTTTTTTTTTCTTTTTTTTACAAAATCGCAATTCCTGACTCATTTTTAAAAATTGCTATTGCAAACTGGTAATTTTTTTTTTTTTTTTTAATTATAGGAACTTCCAAGTATACCCAAGAGAGTTAACAGTATAAGGAATCTCATGTACTGGACACTCAGCTTCAACAACCACCCCTTCCAGCTAATCTTCCTTCATCAGCAGTGCCATTTCTATTTCCATCCCCACCATATTATTCTGATGAAAATTTAGACAGATCATTTCACCTGTAAATACTTTAGAGGCATAATGATTTTTTTTTTTTTTTTAATTTAGGCTTGTCTTCCATTTTATCCTTTTGAACCAAATTTATCCCTACTTTACATTCATGGTCATGTTGCTCAACCCAACCAAGGACAGTCTTTTTAACTATTCACATCTGTTTGTACTGACATCCTTAAACTGAGAGAGAATGAAAATTGCCCATTTATAACCAATCATCATCCATGTCATTCACAACTCTGTCACTGTAAAACCACATTTACAACCACACTCTTCTAAAGGACACTAAAGGGGCACCTGAGTGGCTCAGTGGGTTAAGCCCCTGCCTTCGGCTCAGGTCATGATCTCAGGGTCCTAGGATTGAGCCCCGCATCAAGCTCTCTGTTCAGCAGGGAGCCTGCTTCCCCCTCCCCCTCTGCCTACTTGTGATCTCTCTCTCTCTCTCTCTCTCTCAATCTCTGTCAAATAAATAAATAATCTTAAAAAAAAAAAAAGGACACTAAAGTAGGAAAATTGTCAGATAAAGAGGAATGCTCAGGCTATGACAGTGCCCATTAGAAAGAAAAACACCTAAGTGGCTGATGCACAGAGATCTACAGGGGCCTCTGCATCTGTATCCTTACAGGTACATATCATGCTAATGGTTACATTAGGTTAAGTTAATGGTTAAGTTAGGCCACTGTCAAGACTAAACAGTGTCACAGAACTGTTTTCATTACTTCTCTTTATGACTTTCTAACCAGTTATGATAGGTTAAAGAAAACTGACATAAATAACCTGTAATTCTAATGTTGGAAAACAGGAGGGAGAAAATAGTTTAACGTGCAGACCTAAGCCATATTCCCCCACCTACTTTGATTAGGTAATAAATCGGTTCCTAGCTATCTCTCCGCCAAGTCCATCTCTGCATTGGTTAAGAACCTGAACAGGGAAAAACAGGCCACAAAAATCACAAAACTCAAACGAGGGTAGAATGAAATGAAAATAAAATTAAATATAAAGCCAGATTCCTTTGAAATAATTCATTTAAAAAGGCAAATTATAGAAAGAAGTCTACCATGGTAAAGTTCATTTTTGGTACAGAACTTTAATAACTGATTTCCAAAACCATGATAAATCACAAACCAATTAATACTACTCTCACCTCTTTTTTGTATTTCAGCTACAGATCACTCCCTTCTCCTTAAATATTGTTTTTTCTTGGTTTCCAACACAAACACCTCTTCTCTCTCCTCACCCTCCCCCAAGTGCTCTCATCTATTCTAATAGCTTAAAATGCCATTTTTACATTGAGGATTCTTAATTTATACCTCCCTCACACAGTAGGTTTATACCTACTCAACTACCTGTCCTTCACATGCCAAAAGAGAGCTCAAACATGGCCAGAATAAAATATCTGATCTTCCCACACCTATTTCCAAACTACTCCACTGCCAGTCTTGCAAACAGCATAAATGGTACCATCACTCAGCTAGCTACTCAAGGGAAAACTTTATGTACTTTTTTCCTCTACCACCATCTTCCACGTAGTCTACTATTTTTCTACCTCTGTCCACACCAACACTGATTTTCGCTTTCTGTTTAAGAAAAGTCTTTTATAATCTATCTTCTACACTCTAGCCAATGAGCTTCAACTACCCTGAAACTTATTTCTGGTTTTGGACAACCAAGCACTTTTCAGCTCACAAAGACTTTTTCATTTGCTGTCCTTTTATAAGGGGAGATGGAGAGGAGAAGGGAGTTGAGGGAAATTGGAAGGGGAGGTGAACCATGAGAGACTATGGACTCTGAAAAACAATCTGAGGGTTTTGAAGGGGTGGGGGGTGGCAGTTGGGGGATCCAGGTGGTGGGTATTGGAGAGGGCACGGATTGCATGGAGCACTGGGTGTGGTGCAAAACTAATGAATATGGTTACGCTGAAAAAATAAAAAAAAAAAAAGAAAGAAAGAAAATGCCACAAATTTAATATACATAGTAAATTCACAATTACAGTTAATAAATTCATGTTTTCTTTGACCTGCCCCTTCTCTTCATATGTCCCTGAAGGCAGCTAACAGCATCTGGTGCAAGGTAGAGGCTTTAACCCACCTCCACAAAAAAGTTGAATAAATCTACTGAATATATTACTGCCTAGTTATTTAATTCTTCATAATTACGTAGTCTATTAAATCCCAAACATAAGAGTTGAACAATCTAAGTCACATTTCAATCGGAAAGGACCAACAGTTACTTACGGAGTCCTACAGAATCTGGTTTGCCATTATCATTCTTACTTGGTTGCACAAGTGGAGCAAATGAAACAGCAAGGATATTTTTACTTTCCCAAGTATTTTGTCCAGTTCGCATAATTTGTGTTAACTATTTAGAGGGAAAAACAGAAACAGAATAGCTTAATCCTGGAAATGTGATCACCTTACAGTCACAATTTTGTTTTAATGGAATAAATGCCCCAGTGGTTGCTATAATCATTTCTATTTGAATGCAACACAATTACTTTCATTTCAATACTTACCATAAAGTAATACAGAAGGAATGACAAATATTTGCAACTCAAGAAAAGATTAGTCGATGTAAATAAAATATCCAAATATAGTCAAATAACTCATCATGCTGTATTTGTGATCCAATAGCTCTGAGGGGTCTTATTCCAATCCACACCTGCTAGTGGCTCCCAAAATATATGTCTCAGGGGCGCCTGGGTGGCTCAGTGGGTTAAAGCCTCTACCTTCGGATCAGGTCATGGTCTCAGGGTCCTGGGATCGAGCCCCGCATCGGGCTCTCTGCTCAGCGGAGAACCTGCTTCCTCCTCTCTCTCTGCCTGCCTCTCTGCCTACTTGTAATCTCTGTCTATCAAATAAATAAATAAAATCTTTAAAATATATATATATATGTCTCACATAGGTTCTGTTGCTTGGTTAAAGCACTATACTAATAAAACCATGTTTTGTTTTGTTTTTAAGATTTTATTTATTTATTGGACAGAGAGACAGAGAGGGGGCACAAGTAAGCAGAGCAGCAGGCAGAAAAAGAGACAGAAGCAGGCTCTCTGCTGAGCAAGGAGCCCAATATGGGGCTCAATCCCAGGACCCTGGAATCATGACCCAAGCTGAAGGCAGCTGCCTAACTGACTGAGCCACCCAGGCGCCCCAAAACCATGTTCTGATTAGCGTACCAAAGACTCAACTTCATGGTGCTCCATTAGAGTAATAAAATGCAGATTCTAATTTTAATCCCAAATTAGTATTTCACAAATAATGTAATTAATCACAAAAGGATTAGAAGTTTTACCTACCTGGCAAAAACCCATCCCCAGTCCTTGGAAAAAAATATTAGCTCAGTACACGGCTTGATCAAGTTGAATTAATATCTTCAATTTCTATTATAAAAATTAGTGCATTATATTTGACATTAGCATAATAGTATGTAATTAATATTTAATAAAATACCAATGGGAAGCCGTATCTTAAGTATTCGAAAATATATCTTTAAGAGAAAACAGAAGATTGCTCAACTGGGAGTCTCAACTGTGGAAGGATTCAAGTAACATTTTTCTAGGAATGTTTTTTAATGAACGTTTTTATTATGTCTTTTTAATAACTGACAAACAATTTGCCACAGAGCACAGTGCATGGTAATGATGAAATCTACTGAACTGCAAATAATATGCTGTGATGTTAAGGGACTCCTCCTAGGATTATAAACTCCAAAATGATCTAGCAAGGTCCCAGTTGTCTTATAAAATTAATCTTCTACTGTATAAAATACAGGCATTTTAAACATCTCAAACTTAGGTTAATATGAATATTAAAGATTTTTTTGAAATGTATTTTCATATATTAAGTAATTTCCTTTTGAAAGATCTACCCATTTTCTGAATATATTAGTATTTCATACATTTAATATATCTAATAATTCTAAACCAGGGCAGGCAAACTGCTGAAAAATATTTTCAAATAAGTCTATCTAGTATTAAATGAAGATTTAAAAACTTATCTGTTTCTTTAATGGATTTAAGCAGTCCAAACCAAATCCAAAATAGATTTTCTTTTTTATATGTTTAAAGAACTAAAGAATGTTGGAAACTGAGCAGTTAGTAGAGATCATCACATTTATTTAAAAAGCCCCAGGTAAAGAAACTGTAGTTAGGAAGTAACTTGGCAAACACCACACAGGTAGTAGCTAAGCTCTGGTGAAAGACCAAATCTCTTCAAATCCTAGTATAAAGGATTTCTTCTGTATTTTCTTTAGTTCCATAATTAAGAATCCATTTTAAGGTTTTTGTATTTTTTTTAATATAGATAGATCTATAAAGTGTACTTGTCTAAAATTACAACTAATTTTCACTGATTTTATTTCCCATCCTAAACTACTGTGTTTAAGCAAAGGACAGCATAAGTTACCTGATCTTCTATAGGCATGACTAAAATGCCTCCAACTTTCAGTAATATTTTCATGTAGTTTTCATGGTCTTTCTGGACACCAGCTCCACAGTAAATTCGATCATACTGATGACTGTCAGATGCTATCTGGAGGCAATTACCAACCACAAATGCAGGTTCACAGAACTCAAATCTGCATGAAAAAACAAATCTATTTTAATTCATTTAAACAAAGATCAGATCTTTAAAAATTTAACATAATTCAGTTCTTTGAAATAGTGAAGTTACCAAAATTAATTTTAGGATAAAATATCATTATGAAATTTGATTTAAATATCATATTTATGAAGTTTAACTGGTCAAATATATTGTTTTATCATCAATGATATAGTGCATGTTTTCAAAGCATTAATCTATTTTTTTGCCATACTGAACCCTCACTTAGGGCTTAAAAAAATGAACATAATCAGGGGCGCCTGGATGGCTCAGTTGGTTAAGCCTCTGCCTTCGGCTCAGGTCATTATGCCAGGGTCCTGGGATTGAGCCTCACATCGGGCTCCCTGCTCAGCAGGGAGACTGCTTCTCCCTCTCCCGTTCCCTCTGCTCGTGCTCTCTCTCTCTCTGTCAAATAAATAAATAAAATCTTTAAAAAAAAATACTTAAAAAAAAATGAACATAATGAAAAGCCCCTCAGGATACCAATCTTGTGATGCGCCACATATATTAAGGATGAGAATCACAAGGGTCAAATAAACAAGAAAAGGTTCACCTTGCACTGCCCTTTCCAAAAAAAAGCTGACAGGTCAGTGGCAATGGGAAGAGCTCATGCAGTATTTATCTCTGATTATTTCTGCTATGGCTAACAGTGGAAAGCTTTGTCAGGAAAAGACACCAATGCCCTGACCACACACCTTAGCAACCACTAAGATTAGGGAGATTTTCCTAATAGATTTTAGCAGGGCTATGTTACAGGATTGTTACAGATGTTACTGCTGCTTTGGCCCCTGTGATCTCCCTATGCAACAGAAGGAGATACAGTTTCATAGCAAAGGCATCTTATCCAGGCCACCTGTTCCTGGTTACAGTGTTGGTTCATGGTATGTAGTTATGCTTTTACAAACTACCCTATTTAGACTTCTACTTTAGTCCTTAAATTTTAACAATTCGGAAAACAGTTTCTAACATATAACAAATTTAATTAAAACCCCAATGCACTAATAAAACATGTCATCTTTTTTAAAAAACTAATTCATGGAATATCCTTTTACTTTTAAGTTGATTAAAGTTAATATGACCACACGGCAAAATCAGGCTATTATTTGAGAATGAAATAATTTACGTTAAAAGTTTCAGCATATAGTGAAAAATGACACTAACTGAATCATAATCATTTCTACTTTGTAAAACATATCCTATTCCTTTAGTAATTAATAGACTTATTACACAAGTTTCCATTAAAATTCACTAAAACACAGATATATTATCTTCATTAATATTTAAAGAGGAGTTTACCAGAATTATGCCTTGTCTTCAGTATCCTGTCTTCTTAGTGGAGGGGCCAGGGGTAGGGTGGGAAGGGGTGTGAGGCTGGGGTGGCGTGAGTCATCAGTGTTTACTCTCTTTTCCACACCCCCCACACTAAGGTAGTCCATGTCCAATTATTTCTTTCACTGTAACTATCTCCTTGCTGCTCACACTTTTTAGGACTCTTCCATCATTTTGCTCCCTATTGCACAGGATAGGGTGAAATTCCCATACAGTACCACATGGGGCTCTTTATGATCTTACCATCAAATTGTTGTGCCAGATTCATTTCCTGGCCCTGCCTTCCTCACACTGTCCCCGCCCAATACTATGCTGTAGCCAGACTGAATACAGTTGGCCTTTGAACAAGGCAGACATTAGGGGTGCTAACCTCCTTCCTCAAACATCTGAGTATAACTTAAGACTCCCTAAAAACATAACTACTAACAACCTGTAGAGAAGCCTTACTGGTAACATAAACAGTTGACTAACACATACTTTGTATGTTACATGTATTGTATACTGTATTCTTACAATAAAGTAAGCTAAAGAAAATACTAATAGAAGAAAACATATTTATCATGATATACCATAACAAAATCTGCATTTAAGCAATCCTGCACAGTTTAAACCCATGTTGTTAAAGGGTCAATTGTGTGTGCTCCTACTTGTTTAATGGAACTATTCGAAAATATTTTGAAACCCTGTATCTGTGTATATGCTGTTCCTTTGACTGAAATACCCTTCCTTCTCCTCTTCCCTTGATAAATGCCTACTATCCCTTCAAGATACAATTCAAATATTAGTTTTAGAAATGAAATCTTACCCAACTCTACTTAACAGTATCTCATTCTATTTGCATAGTACATAGGAAGTGTAAACTTACTTATGTCAGAGACCATGCTTAAATTCCTTTTAAACTCAAGACTATGGTACAACTTATGAGTGTCTAAAATATGGCCAAAATATATTTCTTGACTTTTAACTAATAAGATAATGTGAATCATGTGGTTTAATCATTTCCACCAAACTCACAATAAGCATTCTTTAAAATGAGAAAGTTAGACTATTTTCAATTAAGTCTATCTAAAAATATTTATTCTTATAAAAATTCATCTTAAATAATTTAATTTTATAATAATTTAAGTTAGTCTTATTTTCAGGATGAATATGAGCAGGAAATTTATATTTTAAAAATTAAATTATTAAAACCTCTTTATCAAGTCTGTTAAATAAACTCAAAAATACATTTATGGTTTTAAAAGCTTTCTACCTATTAAAGATAAAAGACAGCTTAGAGAACTATTACCTAGGACAATACCACTGCAAGTAAACATCTTATAATTAAAACCACTTCTCATTAAGTGATATTTTATATGTCCTCATCCCAAAAAAATTAATTAGAAAGAATTCAGTGCCTGACTTTAAAATCAAATGTGTGATTCTAGTCAAATTTCCTTATACTATTAGTAAGTAGAGTTCGCTAAGTGAAATATTTACTGAGCACCTGTTTTGTATAAAGATTGAAAAGACAATGGGAAACAATCATGCCTACATCTAGTTGAAGAGATGAACATCGAAGAATCACAGTAATAAAGATTTACAACTACGATAAATGCTTTATCTAAAGGAAAGGGATAGGATTCCATAAAACTGAGGACGAAAGGAAATGGACAGACCTATGGAATCAGAGAAAATTTCCCTGAGAAATGTCGAGATCTGAAAGATGAGACAGGCCAATCTAGAGGTACGTGGCAGCCAAGATGGTAGTCACTAGCCACATGTGGATATTGAGCCTTTAAAATGCAGCTAGTCCAAATCAAAATGTACGTTAAGGATAAAATTCACATGGGATTTTAAAGATTTAGTCCAAAATAAATATAAAATAACTCAATATTTCTTTTATATTTATGTGTATAGGGGGGTGGGTGAGTGCGTGAGAGTGTGTGTGTGTGCGTATTTCAACAGCCACATAAACTGAAGATACTAAACAAACACCCTTCTACTTATCATATCACCTGTAACTAAGAGCTTCAAATACTTTCTCTTTAAGACAATCTTCCCTTTGAAACATTCTTCCAGTTTTCCTGTTACTTCTGTGAGTATTTCTTCTGAATTTTAAAATGTATCTCCATTACCTATAACAGTCCTCAAAGTGTATTTACTGAGTGAACCATATAAAAAACAAATGTTTTGTCAGCTTTTCCACCTGCCAACTTTGAACATGAACCCCAAAAAAAAAAAAAAAAAACCTCAGGGCTAGAAGAGAAACTTGCCCAGAAAGTTACAGGAAAAATATATGCCTATGACACTTTCAATATCATTATGATGGTTCTTGTTTTACTAAATTAATCGCTATGGAAAGCCATAACCTTATGCTACAGAATAGTTTTTCTCAAAATAATTAAAAAAGCAAAACTCAAATAATTAAAAAAAATCTTTGCCTTTAATGAATAAATCAACTGTTCTATAACGAAAAGGCACTTTTGGGGGGCCTTTCTGAAGATCTTAAATAAGCCACCATAATTTTAGGAAACAAATTAATGCTTTCTTCCCCTGTAATACAGATTAAAACAAGTACGTTTGCTTCCACTTAGGGAGTAATACAAAGGATCATTATACTGAAAATCAGATCTTTAAATCTATCAATTTCTACTAATGCAAATGGAATATATATTTCTAACAAATACATATGGGATCTTTACACTTTCATTTACCATAGTCAAATTAATTTCCTTTAACAGAATACTCAAACCTGAAAGGTTAATCAAACTTGAGATGTTCCAAAGTATTGGACTATTTCTAAACACAAAATAGTAAAACTGTAGGGACAAAAGTAACACTGGGGAGAACACTATATATTTTTAAATGTTGGCACTAAAACATCTAGAACACAGAAAATTCACATGCCAAACACATCACAAAAAAACTGTAACACTACCAATTTAGTGGTAATTAAGAAAAACATCTACCAGAGACTGTCCTATCTGGGGATTCCTTTTTGTAACTATGGCTTGATCTTTTCTACCAGTAATACATGAATCCTTCACATCAGTAAAGAACACAAAAAAATTCTCAAATTGCAATTACACACACACACACACACACACACACACATATAAAAAATAAATGGGTAATGGATTATCTTTTCTCATAAAGGACTTAGAGATGAGCTTTAGTATTTCTAACTAGGTACATAGTTGAGGATCTTACTTAGACATTTGGTATTCTAATATTAAAACTATGGCTTATTTTTATAATAGCATTTCACATAAATAAACCCATACCAATTCTAGGGCTAACAATATTTTTTGAGAAAGTCTATGATTAAAAATGTTTAGGGCAATGTTTATGGATATGGTCCTACCTGTGTCAGATCATGCTCATGCCAATATTTACAAAGAACTAAACAAGTGACTGGAGACATGGATGATGGCTACCATGTTATCAAAGTAAATTACAATTCCTACTCAGTCTTCCAATGTAGACAGGAAAAGAAAGAAAACGTTTTCTTCCGTAGGCTTTTACTATCTTCTGAACGCTGCATCTCACCTATGTTTCCACAAACCTCTACAGAGGCAAAGCACATGTTTTAAACCACAAATACAACTTGTGTATAATCTGGAAGACTTCAGCAATAAACTAACCAGAAGTTTTCAGTTTATTACA